GCTGGCCGCTGGGGCTTATTGTTTATGGCTGGCTGTGCAGGCCGTCCTGCCGCAGAACGGGGGTGCAGGCAGTCAGAAACCCCTCCTGAAACCCCTATGTGACGCATAAACACGCCAATGCCTCAAACATGCACATCTGATGTGTGTTTTGTGTTTGTTGGGTTCTTGTTGGGGTTTTAGTGTGAGTTTTTGGAAGAGGAAGGAGAAAGGTAAGCAGCAATAATAACTTTATCTTAGTCTATACCACAATAAATGACCACTTTGTAGGTGTAAGTTATAACATTCAAATGACTAGCCGAGGATTTAAAGTGACTGGAACTTTTATAAATGCCCCGCAGTTAAAATATTTCATCATCCTTCAGGAATTTGACGGGAAAGGGCTCCATCTTTTTATTTTTGGACACGAAAAGAGTAAAGCTTACAATTACGATAAAGTTCAGTCATCGTGTTTTCACACCACTTTTGAATTTCCACCACCGGGGGAAGATAAATCATTTTTCTATTTGTCTTCCTACATTTGGTATGTGTAATGTTTTGGGTGGCACAGTGTGGCTGAGTTTATGTATACGAGCTTGCTAATTCAGGTCGTCCTATGATTTTTTTAGTGGGGGGTTGAGGAGCACACAGATCTGCCCGCTTGCTTTCACACTCATTGGACCAGTTTTTTTGTTTTGTTCCTGCAGCTGCTTCAAACATCTTATTTTTTTTGCCAGCATTTGTGGCTTTAATGACCCCCGCTAACACTCAACAGCCAAGAGTCCCACAGATGACATTATTCCCCCTTTCCAATCGTCCCTCTCTTCACTTTTAATTTGATTTAGCCTCTCAACGGCCTTATTTAAAAGCCAAAAAAGCCAAACGAGAACAATGCAGCTGCAGACCGCAGAGCCGAGAGAAGTCCTGTGTGCAGCCCACAACTTCTGATCAGACATCAGCAGCCTCTCAGATTAAGCCTGCTCCCTGATTAAAAACAGGCCATTTTCTGTCCACAAATCCCGCGCCCTGTGTTCTTTTCTTTGCCATTAAAAGGAACGATCTGAGCCGAGCCTGGACGGAGTCCACTGGCTCGTGCGCCTGCCAATCTCCCCCTGGTTTGTAATCCACCGCTGGCCCGGCGGCGGACTGGTGAGCCGCAGTGCTAACTGGCTTTCTATCAGACTGACTAGCGTAGCGACTGGCTAACCGGCGTTCCGACTAGCTTATTGATTGACTGTCGGGCTTTTGGTTTACCGGCCGGTTGGCTTGCTGACTGATTGTTGGCTCGGTTGCTTCTTTTTTTTTAGTCTATGTGAGCGATCGGACGAAAAAGTGAGCCTCAAAAACGTGCGCCTCGACAGGGCCCGGCTAACTGTAAACAGGCTTGCGCTGCAGGGATTCCAGCACGGAGACGCTCTAGTTGTGATGGGAACTGGGATGTTCTTGAGGAAATGATGCGGCCGGCCCTTTTAAAACGGCTCACGAGATGACGGCTGATGTGGAAGTTCCACTCTTCCCTTCAGTCCATCACGGTTTGAACCAACGGGCACCGACACTCTTCCAACACACTCTGCATTTCTCAGCCATCCTCCGTCAGGCCTTTTTTCCTCCTGAATATTTCACCAGCCACTTATTATTTAATGCGCTGGATCCGAATGTGTCCCTGCTTGTCTCAGAGACACGCAGGAGGGGGGGGGGGGGGGGGGGGAAAGGGGGACGAAGGCGGCGGGGGGGAAAGAAAAGAAGAGAAAAAGGAGGTGGAGCTGTGAGAGGAGGAAAAAAATGTCTGTGGGTGTTTTTTTTTTGGGTTTGAGTGAACGCATCCATGCATGGACATGCCTGCTTATACCGTGTGAATGCTTGTTTGTAGGCAGAAAGTATGCCAGGGGGCAAAGCGGGGAGATTGAAAAAGACAAACACGGCGGGCAGAAATGGTGTCTCTCCCAACGACTCCCAGACACACATCTGTTTTCCTCCCTCCCTCCCTCCCGTGCCGCCGGTGGTGGCTCGCTCCGACGGTGACAGCCGACCTGACAGAGAGACTGACGCGGGGGCTGATGGAAGTCGATTGACCTAATACTCTGAAAGCAGAGGACAAAAGTTTGACTGGAATCCGCTGTGGCAGCCGGCGAGACCCAATCGTTGGTGGATGAGTTGCGAAACAATTCTCAGTCGCCGTGTTGCAAATGAAAGAAGACAGCACAGCTCTATAAATTCCCAATCTGTTAATGGCTTCTTAGTCTTTTACTAACCAGCGACAGTGACACCAGATTGTCACACAGCTGACCTTTGCTTGGACCATGCAAAAGGGGTGAAGCATTCATTTTTACCCCTGTTGGGAAAGCAATAGTATTTCTAATAGAAGCACAACTTGCTTTTTTTTTTTTTAGCGTACAAACACAAGTTTATGGTTCGTATCTGATCAGATGGAGGCTCTGAAACTGACAGTAACAACTCGTGGCCGGAAAAATTGGGTTCTTTTCGCCTGTGTTCCAGCTTATCCTCTGTCCCACCGCTGACCGCCGAGGGCTGGTCAGCGACAGGACACAGGCCCGACTATCTATGAGTCATCGTTAGCAGAGATACAGAGTGTAATGTCCCCTTCGTGTTGTCATGGTGACCCTTCGGAGAGATTGATATGTACATTGAACCGTTAACTTTTAGCCTTCAGGGCCTATAAGGAATCCCGGAATGGCTTTGCGTGGGATGAACACTCTCAGAAGTCTGATGTAGGCAGATGGTGGTAGTTTAAGGAAGACTCGCGTAACCTCCAGGCTTATTGGAAAGCGTTCAGATTCAGGGATTCTGGTTTTTCGTCACGCTGCACTTCATCCGGATGGTTCACACATTGTTCATCTGATTGACATTTGACTGTAATTACATGTTGAAGAAAGAACAAACCTACGCAGCTAAGAGGAAAACTGCTAGCAAACCAACACCAAAGGCTGTAAGCAGTGTTTTGTTTGTTTTGTTTTTCGGGGGGGTACTGAAACAAAGACATACCTTGAGGGGCACCATAACATTTCACATGGCATCTTGTGAAAAGTGAAAAGGGTTGTCGTCATGTAAGACGATTCAAGGATCAAACACCCATGCTTCCCACAGGGAGATGAAATATGAGGATGCACACACTGGAGCTCCTGTCTGACTTAATAAAACAGGAAATATTTGATTTAAATGAATCAATTTGCTGAATTTTAAGAATTAAATGATGATCATTGTATTTAGGTAAGAGGATTAGGGCCACTGAAGAAAAAAAAAATAGAATTCTGATTAAAAGAGAAGTCAGAATTCTGAGATGAAATTCAGAATTCTGACCTTTTTTTTATCTGAGATCTCAGAGATTTTGTTTTCATGTTTTGGAAGAAAATCAAAATTCTGAGAAAAATAGTCAGAAGTGAAAAAAAGACAAATTTTCATGTTTTGGAAAAAAGTCCAAAGTCGCAATTGAATTTTTTCTTCTTCAGTGGCCCCAATTCTCTTCCTTAGTACCGAATTTGACTTTTTACCGTTTTCTTCTTTGGACATTTTTGTGCTTTGGCAGGTCTCAAATTACCAAAGCAGCAAAGATATGAACAGCGTTTAAACGCTCAAATTCTTGAAACATTTCACCCTGTCACGCCATTGCATTTTAAAGAACGCCTCAGTTTTTTTTTCAGTGATGCTCAGACTTAATGCAGAGGTCCTTCAGCACCCCTAAAAACGCACTAGCTAATCCTCTGTCTTTGTGCAACCGCATGCTCACATAACACACATAACACACATAACAAGTCCCTTTGCTATTTAATCAGATGTTGCGATCAACAGACGTATTTTTGGCAGCGGAGCGCCCCAACAGACGCATAGGTGTCGGTTAAGGTCTGGGTGTCACCTCCAGCCTGCTATGTGATCCATGTAAGAGGCTTCAGGCACCGCTCCTCTTGTCCCCTCTCTCCCCGACCCCTCAGATAATCCCTCCTAATTCTCCGCTAGCCGGTCCTGCCCCCTTCCAAATAGTGACCGACTGTTGTCCCACATGCCGTTCCTTGCTTGTGTTTGTGTGTGTTTGCGCACAACTGACCGTTCCCCTCCCTCCCCGCCCCCCCTTCACCTTTCTCAGGTCGGTCCAGGTTCTCCCGTGCTGGACGACGGGACGCTATCACACCAACACGCACACGACATACGAAAACGCGGGAGGCCGAAGTCTGTTTTTTTTGGGCCCTTTTGTGATGTGCTTACTGCGCCCCTAACAGTCTGGGCCGCCATCTGCTGCAATACAGGAGCGATGAAACACACACACACACACACACTCACACACACACACACACACACTCACGCACGCACTCCAACAACAAATGTTTGTTGTGGCGTACATATGGCTTGACTTGCTTATGCCTCAGTCCTTAAAACACTTCGATGCTTTGTAGGTGCAGCTAACGCAGCTCGAAGCTCTATTGTGTCCTTGAGAAGTGTCCATTTATTGCTGTAAAGTCTAAACTAATTCCAGGCCGGCCTTCCGGACTGGTTAGCGGAGGCAGAAGTCGGCGCGAGCATCTCCCGCGTGAGGACTTTTGTCGCTCGTTTTTTCTTTATTTTCCTACTTTTCTCTCCCGTGTTTCATTCCCTATTTTCACTCGGGATGTTCGCTAGTTCAGGGTCGCCGCGGCTCATCCGAATAGGAGCAAGTTGCAAATCAAAAGCTGAGCTTTTTTCTTTCTTTTTTTTCCCTGTCCAAAAGATGAAAAGAATTCAAATCTCCCTCATCGGCGCTCCGCTCGGGCTGCAGTGTCGACGCCAACGGATCGGGCGTATAATCCTGATCTGACTATGAGCTTTGTTATATGACTTGGAGCCGCTGATGTAACCTGCCAGCCGCGCTAATTCGGTGCGCTAGCGTGTGTGTGTGTGTGTGTGTGTGGGCAGGGCAGCAGATGGTGGGAGCGGTCTGACCACAGGCCGACGGACAGTGCGCGGGTCGGGGAGGCCTCGCTCTTTGTCTCTCCCTCTCTCGTTCTCTCCATCACCCGGTCCTCTTCTCCTTAGCCTCTGCATCGGACAGAGGAACGGTCGGCCATCCCTCTCAGTCAGGAGGACCGCGCCGCTCTTTCATCATCCGTCCTTCTGCTCGGGCTTTTCGTTCCTCCATAAGAATGTCAGACGAGTCTGCCACCCCCTTCATCCATCCCTCCATCTGTCAGATGGTTATCCATCTCTCCCGACTTTTGTCCCTGGTCAATCCATCCACCCACCCCCCACTCCCCCCTCCCTGCATCTGTGTACTTCAAAGTGTGAATGTGCATTCGCAGTAGTGTGTGTGTGTTTGTTTGTTGATTTGTTTTGCAATGCGCTTAGGGCACCGTTTGTGTGTGTGTGTGTGTGTGTGTGTATCCAGATCGCTATCTTTGCCCCCGATCCCTCCCTCCCTCCCCTTTCCCCCCAGTGTGTGCGTGTTTGCGTGGATTGAATCAAGGTCAGAGGGGATCTGCTGGCAGACTCTACCCCCCCCCCACCCCCACCCCCGAAACCCACCCGCCCGCTGGGTGTGTGCGCTCGGTGCCCATCCGGCCACCTCCACGTCCCCGCTACGCTAGTTTAGCCCGGGCTTAGCCCAGGCCCGGCAGGATTAATTACTGGGTGAACCCGCCGCGTCTCTGACCTCCGCCTCCGTCCGACTAATTGAAATCTAATTGAACTGCGCTTGTCTAGACAAATGGAGCCCCCGCCACTGAAACCGCCAATCTTTTTAGCCTTAGCCCCGGGCTGGTGGCCACCCGGAGGCAGTGCAACAGCAGATCTGCGCTGCCCACTTTGGGAATGATGGAGAAGTTTAAAACGATGCACGCAACAGGTGAACAAACGATAGAATAACAGGAACTTTATTTTAACAAACACGAGACCAAGCACGACACCAACAATCTTTAATTGGGAAGAATTAGCTCCGATTTTTCCCAAATAAAGATTGTCGATGATACTGCTCACAGGCCATTTTTCCTATCCTTGTTTATCCCCTTTTCTCTTCAGTTTGTAGTTCTCTCTGTTATCCTAAAGATGCTGGCTCTTTTATTAAAATCTTAGTCTAACCCAAAATAATAATCCATCTTTAATTCTTTAATGGCAGAAGTATTAAATACTGTCTGTTCTTGTTGCGATGGTCTGAAGGGTTCACTGTGAGAACAGTCACTCGGATTAGCCCGGAATACCACCTGAATAAGTAAATCTGTTTGGAAAACGTGCGGATACACGCCGAAACCGATGCAAAAAGGGCAAAGACGGGTGACGCACTGTAAAAGACACGGCCGTGATTCCCACGAGGCTGGAAAACATCACCCATCTTAATTGGGAAGAAAGGAGAGGATAAAACAGAAAAAAACAAGACATTTCCTACCTAAAGATTTCCTCTGAGAGCTGGCGGCCTTGTCGGCGTACTCCAGCCCCCCTCCCTTAAGAAAACCAAAAAAAAAGCAAGCATAAAAAACATCGACGGTGTCCTTGTTTCTCCAAGTTGGTGGGGACTTTGGGGGAGGCGGGGCGCCGCCCCCCCCCCATGGGAGTTGCTTATTTTGTTTGGCCTTCTTTAGCTTTTAGCAGGTGAGAGCGATTCCCCGCCATAAGTTATTCATTTGATGTTTCCTCCATTCTCAGCTCTTTGTAGGCTGGAATACATTAGCGGGCGGGCAGATTGGATGGGATGCTAATGCTGGAGAGGGAGCGAGAGGAGAAGAAAGGGGAGGAAGAAAGGATGAGGGCGGCGGAGGAGAGGTGATAGAATCGTTAGAGGAGGAGGAGAACAGAGGCAGAGGGCACGGTTTTATGATGTGTGGGAAGGGGAAGTGACCTTCCCTTTCACTTTCATCATGGCTTTTTTTATTTTATTTCCCTCCCTTTGCCTTGCTTGCTGACGCACAGATGCGCAAGCGTACACAGAGCTGTGCTCGTGTGCGGTTGCTGCAGAGTCCCAGGCACAGAGCCTACATTCTTCTCTCATTTAGTCACACACACGTACACGCACACGAACCCCCTCTTTTTTTTTTTTTTTTAAATGAATCTTTTCTTTCTGCCTATCCCACGTGCAGGTTCCCTTGCAGCCTGGCCAGTCATTCAAGTTCACAGTCCTGGAAACTCTGGACCGTATAAAGGAGGAATTCCAGTTCCTCCAGGCTCAGTATCACAGGTAATCTCTCTCACACACACACACACAACATGGGGAAGACTTTTTCTAGTTTTATGATGAAAACGGAACATTACGATTCCGCTCTATGGAAGTGGATATCGATTTCTTGCATGTATCAGATACTGATGCTAACAAAGTGTGCAAGTGATTTCCTTTGACCTCTAGTACAAAATATTGGACACTAATCGATTGTGAGCTGTAGCCCGACAACTGAGTGCAGACCCAGTGGTTTTGAATCAACGTGACACCACCTTTATCTAAAAATGTCCACGAAAAAAAAAATTAATCGCATTTTTTTTTTTCCAACTTCTACATTTTCCGCTTTTACATTTGAGAAATGATGAGTCATCCAGCACCTGGAAGTGCTGATTTTGGGCCAAATGACCCCTTTCTCAAAGAATGAATTATAGAAAAGCCTGCTGAAATGATTTGAGTTGAACAAGGAGAGCAGTCAGGAGAGAAGAGGCAACCTCTGTAGCTTCTGTTTTTACATAAACATATAGAGTCATTAAACAGATAGCAGTATAAAGTGCTCAAAACTACACAACACTTATGTTGTAAGAGGTACACACCTTGGTCTATTCTTTCAGAATATTGGTTTTGGAATAGTGGGGGGGATTTTCCACACTTGAGTGTTTCAGATTTGAAAAGCTTTATCTGCAACACTGTTTCGTAAATCCGTCCCAAACCATTGCGTTGATTTTGAGATGCCTTTAAAACTTAGTCGTGTAATTCTGTGAGATTCACTTTGTTTCATTTCCTCGACGTTACGCAAATCGTTGCGGTTAAGAATAAGTGAAGCTGTTTCATCTTCCTGGATGCAAATAAACTGTGTTTTTTCCTCCGTTTTCTTTTACTTAGCCTGAAGCTGGAGTGTGAGAAGCTGGCCAGTGAGAAGACGGAGATGCAGAGGCACTACATCATGGTGAGTTCGATTGGGCCTTTAGCGGAGCCGTGTGCTAATTGCTAGTCTGAGAAGAGTTACCTGTGGATGGTTGAGTTGAGGAGAAGTGCAGCTCACCTACTGCGAAGCTCGCTCTTTGTTTGGTTGTGCTTCGAGTTACAGTCTCCCCCCATGTAGTTTAAATGCAAGACTTACCAGAGAATACCTTTAGATTCAATTAAAAAGATCATTTTGATAGTATGAACCTATTTAAATATGAATAATAAGAGGAATAAGGTATTTTTTCCCCCCACCATGTCTTGCTCTATAGGTCCTCTTTAATTATTAGCATACCTTGTTTATGTCTCAGCACAGTTTATCCCATTTTTTTGTGGCTCTGCGTGCTAACAGCCTTAAACATTTGTGTCAGCGCGTCCGTGTGACTGAAGGCTCACATGTATCGTAAGCCTTCATCTGTAGCACAAAACCCACCCAGAGCCCGGCAGAATATGATAGGCACCATCTGCTAAGCTGCTCGCCTTTCATAAACCTGCGAGAGCAGCGTCGGAATCGGGGCTACGAGCTAAATAGACAGACACCGATGGATAGACAGGAAGTAGGAATAGCGGGCAGGCAGAAAGGCAAACAGAGTGAGGGAAGAGCGGGCAGACAGGTGAGCTGGCAGTCAAACAAATGGACGTAGAAGCACACAGACAGATAAAACCCACACACACACACAAGCTCACAAATACACAGCCCACTCATTTGTCTGTCTACACTGAAACTCAACTGTGTTAATCAGTCTTAGAGCGGATCGGAATGTGTAAAAAGTGCACATGCAAATATCTTTTAAGCAGGATAAGTGTCCTTTGTTTACCTCTTTTTTTTCAACTAAAGAAGCCCTTTGCCTCTGATTACAATAAAATGCTGTATATTGTTGCTTTTTTTTACTATTGGAAGCAACTGTCTTCCTTTTTTCTCTCATAAACAAAAAAACACTTAACTAACAAGCATTAAAGAGCCCCCTGGTTTTCTTTATTACACACAGAGTTGAGCTGGTTTCTGGTTGCTAATATTACTACCTGAACCAACCTCATGCTGTTTAACCAGCGTATGATTTTTAAAAGCAGCGTAAGTCTGAAAACTCAACGTGCCATTCCCCTTCAGTTCTTTCTTCTGATTAGAATAGAGAGCGATCAGAACAGAACTTGACCTTACAGTTAATAAAGCCTCAGTGAGCTAGCTGGAACATATTTTTCTCCTCTGTCACCTGGATGTATCGCTTCATTTCTTTTATGGCATTGAAATGTTTTTCTATCATTTCTCATCCTGGAATTAAATAGAATTCAAAAGAACAGTAAAGTGGTTTCTGAGGGTCCTGTGCCGCTAGTGCCACTTTAAATACATCACCGTTTTTCTGCAACGGCTAAGGACCGTGCAGTGACTTAGTCTCATAAAGCACACCCCCCCCTCACATTGGGGAAGCATTTCTGTCTCTTCATAGACCAGAGCAGTGGGTGGCATTTAACCCAACCTTGTGCATATTAAATGCCACAACCTCTGTTATCTCTGCACATTTCGGTAAACTGAAGATGTTTGAGAAATGGTGGAATGGCTCCGCCGTATATGTTTGGGTTTAACGCTGGGTTTAGCAGCTCCCTACTCCGGGAGGTCAGGGATCTGCAGATGCTGATGACACATCGGCGTAGCTTAGCGCGGCAGACGTTTAGCCCCGCCGGCTGCGTTATTTGAACAAGGACTCACTGCGGTCTCGCGGATGGCTAACACAGCGCTCCAACCACTTCATAGCAATGGCTCAGAACTGAGAGGGAGGGAGAGAAAAAAAAAAAGGGGAGAGAAAGAGAGGCTCAAAGGGAAAGATAGCTAAAGAGGAGGGGGGAAAAAAGGCTCGGAGAGTGTCTGGAAAAAACAACTGAGGGAGGGAGGGATACAAAGGGAAGCAGAGATAAAGAGAATAAAAGAGTGGGAGAGACCAATAGAGGGAAGAGAGATGCAGAGGGGAAGATGGAGAGGGAAAAAGGCAGAGAAGGAACGAGGGAGAGGAAATGACAAAGACATGCCAGGGGACAGAGAGAGAGAAGACAGAGAGAGTGGAGGGAAAAAAAAAGATGCTGCGAAGGGATGAAATGGAGAGAGAGGGAAAAAAAAGGAGGATGCAACACAGAGAGCAAGAGATAGCGATGTGTTTGTGTCGGGGGCGTGAAATGAAAAAGAGAGAGAGAGAGAGAGAGAGAGAGAGAGAGACGAGCGAGGGTGCATGCAGAGACACGTAAATAATGTGAAGCAACAACGGACTAGCTGTGCCCACAGAGGAGATAACCCAGAAGGCTATATTTAGCTCGTTAGGCCTGTCATCCACACTCAGGCCTGCTTCCGCAGACTGGAGCTCTGCTCCCCACGCTGCACTGCTCTTGCCTTTTACTATTCATCAGTGTTAAGCCGCTAAATATACAAGGTAGGGGAAGCAGGGAGACGGTTCCTCTGACTTATTGCACCCGGTGCGTTCAGTTTAACAGCTTAACTCACAAGATGGCACACGGCAGCACTTCAGAAATGTGCCTTCGCCCGCACAAAGCAACACAGGGCAGGCAGTCAGCAAAAGATGGGATTTTCTTTTCAGACTTCCACTTTCCGCGTCTCCATTTTTTTCTGATTTCAATTCATAATAATCACTTTTAATTGTGGGACGGCTCGTCATTGTGCATGATCAACAGCCTTTTTGTCCCTAAAAAACTATACTAAACACTGTTTTTCCGGAGGAAAGACAAAAAAAAGAGCTGCTTTGAATAAAACCAGTCATTCGAAGCCTTAAACGCAACGCTCCGCTGAGAAACTTAGATCCAGACATGTGGATGCTACTTTGTGGCGCTAGCTATTCTAGAAAAAATACTTTTTTTCTTCAGGAACTCGACCAAGTAAATAATATGATGCACTCCCAAACAAAAGGGTCCTCAAACACGTGCTATAACAGCCCGATCCACGCTGTCCAGATGATACTACAACAACCCTGGAGTCTGTTTTAGCTGGACGAAACTGACCTCACAATATCAACACATTAGGAATTGACTGTGATGGCATCCTTATGCTATACACTACTTAGTTTATAGCCTGCTTATTTGTCATTTCCATAACGCGGCAGCTCGTCTGGTAAATACAGGTTGCACGTATTATATTTTTCGCATTTCCAGTCGAGCTAATGATGATCATTAAATTGAGATGATAGTGCTGAAAAATACTAACAGACCTACAGTAATAGGCTGTGAACGCCTCTGGTGTTTTTTTAATTATCAGGGAGAATGTGACACAAACAAAGCAAACAGAGCCGAGAGAAAATATGCGGCAAAGCTGTTTTTGCTGAAAAACGGTTTAAAACAAAAATTGACAGTGTACACAGTTTTCAAATTTCTTGTTTTTTCTACAAATGATCGACTTTATTTATATATTTCGGAAAAAAGAGCACTTGATATTATTTCACGCTTGGAATAATATCTCAACTTTTCTCAAATTTTCCTCTGTTGCTGCAGTAAAATAGCACTGCCAGGTTTGGGGGGGGGGGGTGTATTAGTGTGTTTGGCTGACTGATGGAGTATATGTTTTATATTGTCTATTCCACCGGGCTGGTTTAAAGTGACAGTGGCAAAGTGTTATTTTTCCTGTTTTTTTTGTTGTTTTTCTGGTGGTTCCGAGCTCAGAGAAGCATCAAGCGACCCACTCTGTAGAGTGTGTGTGGGGGTCTCGCTCTGTGGAGTGTCTGTGGGGGTCTGGCTCTGCTCTGGCTGTTGTGTATATATAATTCATAGGTCTCAGATTGCACACGCTCTCTTGGAACTCCGCCGTGTATTTTTAAATAGGGTCGCATCGGAACCCTGGCTGATGAGGTGGGTTGGATTTGTCCGTCACATGCCAACGCAAAAGTGCACGTCGGGCTAATGTCTGGAGAGCTGTGTTCACCTCTGCCCGCTAGAGCTCGATTCTTACCAATACAAAAAGAATAAGGTCCAGGCCTGGCGTCATTTGAAAATAGGGGATAGATTAAAGTCTTTTGAGATAATAAAACCTCTCGTTAGATTTTTAGTCTCTGCATCTACTTTTTTTTCATACTTGTTGATCGTGGTTTTAGGAATTAAAGGCTTTATGATGTAATGAGTTATCAATTTCAGTCCTAAATGAATTGTTTTGGTGTTGGAGCAAAAAAAAAGTGAGGTACAGAGGAGCCATAGCGTCCCTGTATTATTGAAAGGTCAAGTTGCTGGCAACAGGCAAAAATATTGCCGCATTTAATCTCATAATATGAAATTGGAGTGAGTGAGACACGGCATATTGGATTTCATATTCCCGTGATGGGAGATTGTGAACGAAAGAGCTGTTATGTTGAATTTGAAATTGGAGCTACTGTTCAAACAATGAAAATTGATGATGTGCAGTTTGAGGTTTTAAAGCATCAAGTATCAAGCTGTCAGATACGACCATTGAAACATAGAGAGGTCATGAGAAAGATACAAGCTTTTTTTTTTTCAAAGTGATGGTCAAAGTTTATTGATAACGTTTGCTACTATTTATGACTTTATGCTTTATCTGCAGTTGTAAGAGTACAAACCAGTAAAATGGTCAAATCTGGTTTTGTTTGCCTTCCATTCATGAACAACGGTTTGAACTTTAAATGCTTAAAATGTTCCCCTTATTTTTCTACTTCAACCTAACATATTCAGAGTGGTTTAAACAAGAGCTACGTGTTGATATGTATACTACACGGAGGGAAAATAGATGTAACATGGCCCGTGTGGGAGTGTCACACACAAAAAAAAAGTTTTATGTTTCTCAAAAACCTTCGTATTATGCCTTTAAATTGTGAGCGTTTGTTAAATCCTCTTAAAAAGAAAATCCCCACATGGTTTTACAGAAGAAGGGATATATTTATTATGCATTCGGTGGCAACTTGAAATTCGAGATTTTCTCTTAGCGACTGAAAAACAAAGGAACACAGGTCAGATTTTTTTTTTTTTAACTCTGGTATGTGTACCCAAACAGCAGCTTGTGGTCTATTTAGATTTGTCAGAGTATGTACA